CTAGGCCCCTTCCCAACTGATCCCTAAACCAAAAGTTCAGTAGTTGCTTCATGCATCACTAATTTCCTGTGACTGTCTCTGTCTGTTGCAAAGAGAAATTTTCTTGATGAGGGGTCTTTGAAAAGAAACTAAAGAAACCCAGAGTCAGGTACATTGGATCTTTACCTAATTGCTGTTTTGTTGTTGTTGTTGTTGTTGTTGTTATTGTTTGTTTGCTTGTTTTTCCTGTTTCCATTCTTTAAGTAATAATGCATTCTCATTTCTTATAAACACACCTAAAATTTTAAACCCATAAACATGAAATTTTTTTAAAAAATCCTAGAAGAGCATTTCTGTAAGACCTAACACAATTAAAGCCGTGTGATTCAGAGGGCATTGATACAGCTTGGTATTGCCTACTTGATCAGAATCTTGATTATTATTCTCACTGCTTCAAACACTTTTATTTTCTTTTTATATATTATGTTAATGTAAATAACCTTATTTAGAGAATGAAAGTAATAATATAAACTAGCATCAATTAATTCCATTTGTTTCTTGAAAAGATATGTAGTGTGCGTGCATGCACATGTGCAAACACACACAGTTAAATATATAGCACCCTGATTTAGGACAAAATTCTTCTGTCATGAAACTATCACGTCATACTGACAGTGAAACAGATCTTCCAGGTAATTATTTCCTAAACATGGAGTCCTGAAAGAACATACAAAGCAGCATTCAAGAGCTGCAGTGAGCGGTTATGTCTCACTGTCAAACGTTAGCCTAGTTCCCATCCTCCTCCCAAAGAAAGAATGGTCCTGCCACCCAGCATAAGTTCCCCATAATGCCCTGCTGTACCTCTTCCAAGTAGTGTGGGTCACACATTGACTGGGTCCACCCAGAGGAAGTGTGATGACTGTCACTGTAGCAAGCGTAAGCTGTGGATTCACTCAGCCTCCCTTCTCACCTACGTCAGCCCTCCCCTTCCCTTGACAAACCTAAAAGAGGCACATTGAGTGCCTCCTTGGCTCTACAAGGGAGCCCCTCTGTGTTGTTGCAGAGGTCAACAAGCCTCTTGCCTGAAGGACAATCCCCCACCCCTGAGTACTCACGTTCCTTTCCCTCCCTCAAACCCAACTGAAGAGACTTCTGGAGGCAAGAGCCGTACCTGAATGAATTTGTATCAGTTATTTCCACAGTAACAGGCTTTCCATTGGTTTCTCATTTACTGTTTGCCATTCATTTGGCTTTCTTCAAAAGCTCTTAGGTTACGGTGTGAATCTATTCAGATTTGCCAGTTTATCAAGTATGGGAATATGTACATCTTTTTTTTTAAAAAAAAAAAAGTTCTATGTAATTTCTTTACAAATTTCAATAGTAAAAACAAGTCAAATATTTAGTTTGAGAATTATTGACTATGTTGAACTGTCACCACGAAGATGAGTTGTGTCTATGTGTATTGCCTTATTCCCCCCACCCCCAACAGTTGCACAAAAAGCAACTGTTTAGTTGTATAAATGTCCTTGTGTCCTTCCTCTTGGACATATTTTACTTCCTTCTTACCTTAGGGGTATGCTTTATGGTTTAGGCTAAATCCCAAGGAAATTGAGATTTGTATTTAAAATACTAAAGAATTTAATACAAAACCGGAAGGTGTTGCTGGAATTGAGGTCCAGGCTGCCATCCTCCTGAAGGCGAATATAGACTCCAGAGTTTTGGGGGAAGAATCTGGCTTAGGCATAGTAGGCCATGGAGAAGATGTGGGACTTAGCTCCTCAACGTTCTATTTTCAAGGTTTTGGGGATTCAGGGGGCTTGTCTAGAGAGGGAAAGGAAAAGGCCAGGGAAGCCGTAGGCTGAGAGGGGGTCTTTGTCATTGATGGCATGCCTTTTCCTTCTTTAGAACTTTCCGATGGATGTTCATAGAACCAAAGCCTAGGTAGTAGACAGCATTACAATCATCCTGTGATAATCTGGGTGCTGCAAACCTAAGGGAAAGTTACCAGTTAATCTCATGGCCATCCAGGTGAAACATTTCCTTAGAATACAAAATACCGGGCAAGATGGGGAGATCTCAACCTTCCAGAATGGTGAAGGACAGAGAAGGAAAGGGGAGAGGAAGTGAACTCCCTTTTGCCAAGGTCAGCTAACCAGGAAATGGGTGAGGCTGAGTGAGGACTTCTTTAATCGGGAAGGTGCTGAATATCAAGTGAGTGATTTCCGAGCAGATCCAGTCAGCCACTCCCTGGAAGTACCACACAGAGAAATTTGAGGAAGTTTGAAATAAAACAGAGGTAAGGCAAAAAATCATAAACCAAGTGTAATCCTTTCATCCCAGCGGTTTTTGAACCACTCCTTCAGGTACTGCAGAGTTCGGTCCTTTCATGGACTCAAGTCTGTAAAGCCATAATGCTGCATCTGCCCATGACTGTGTCCCGAGGCAGGGTGAGTGGCAAGCATCACTTAGGTGTAGCTCCTGGCACAAGACGGCACAAGTCTTGCCTCTCCGGTTGAGACCCCGTTGGAAAAGCCTCTGCTGTCACACGTCCAAGTTGAGCAGACATAACAAAGAGTTCCTCCGAAAGCCTGGTTTAATTATTTATCCGCACTGTCAGTACTGTGTCGGGCAAGATAGTGTTGGAAATTAATATACTATTTGAGTAGACTGATTGATGGCTCTTACGGCGGAAGAGTTTAACATTCACTAGCTATCCCGACTGGTCATTAGTCCTTCCCTTTATCAGTAAGCAAAGAATAAACAGAAATTGTAATAAAAATTCATCACAGCGAATGGGTATCTAAGCAGCTGTGATAACTGGCCGTGTACTAGATTAACTGCTAGAACATGGGCAGCAGGAGAGATCTCTTTAGAAAAGATTTAAATAGCCTCTAATTAATGTTTACCTTATACCTGGATTCTTTTAAACTAAATCGAGTTATACAGAGAATCTCTTCCATATCCCAGATAATAAAGCACTAATGGGTGTTGTACACTTACTGTGTTTGGGAGGCATCCTCTAACTATCAGTCGAAGGAAGGACCGGGGCTTTGAGAATGTACTCTAATGTGCTCCAGGTGAGGTTGTCTTCCCACCCCTAAAGAATGAAAGCACCACGGCAGCCGAGATAACCTGACTTGTAACGAGAAAACTCTGGCTTGTTAAAGCAATCACCCCCTCCTTACCTATCAGGTTACGAATTGTTTTTAAGAGTAAATTAGAGGCAATGGTGAGAAGGAGATAGCCAAGGAGGAGGCAAGGAGCTTGCGAGCAATTCTGCCCATGGTCGGAATTAGTTGCCAAATATCGACTGCTTCCCTGGGGACTTGGAATTATTTCACGTTTCATCTCAAGAATGATTTTGAAAGATCCAAAGAGCCGTGTCTATTTTATATGTGATGGTGTTGATGCCTCAATAGCTTAACTAGCAGGGAATAAAGCTGGTGGGCAGAGTCAGGCCATCAACTAGTCTGCTAGTTCTGGAGTCATATCCAGGCATCTGCCTCCTCGGCATAAGCGTACGTGGAACTGAGGATGTTCTTTATGGTTCTATGGTGGGAGCGGCCGTCAGGACCCACAGTGCCCGTGTCACCTTCCTTGGCTCTACAATGTGACCAGATAGCTGGGTAACAAGTGGGGATGCTGTGGGAGCTCATTTAAGGGCTACATCTCAGAATTTACATAAATGGCAGTAAAAAGTTCCAGAGAATATTGAGTTCTCATGAAGGGAGGCAGAGAACAGCTACAAGGGCATCTGGGCCATGGCATTCCTGAGTGTCAGGAATGTCTTTAAAGAGTTAGCATGTGGGACTGGAAGGTTCTTCCCGTAAGATACAGGCAGGACTGGTAGTGATGGCTAACAAAAGTCAAAGAGAAATCTCTCTCACAAAGAGAGAAGGAAGAAAGGGATCGAGGAAGCAATGGCTAAGAAACAGCCCTGGAAATGTCAGGAAGATGTGGGTGTTGCTCATCTTGGATCTAACAGGTGGCAGAGATGAGTTCTCATGGCAGAGCCCAGGGAAGAAAGAAAAAGGAAGGTGTGTACTCCGATCTAGGTTCCCAGGTAAATGGGAATTTAAGTGGAGAACCAAGAAATCAAGGCAAGAAGGTTGCAACGCAGAACTTCAGGCTGTATTCGACGACAGATTCAGGAAGTAAACAAGATGAGAATAAATGTACCCTGAGGAACTTCATGGACTCTTTAGCCTTCATACACTAGACAATTTTTAACTGCTTTCATTGCTTTGGGATAACACTACTAAAATATCTAACTTAAATAATTTCAGGGAAAGTGGATTTCTTTTGGTTCATAGTTTCCAGGGAACACATTCATGGTCACTTGACCCCATGTTTTTGGGCATGAGGCAGAGAACTGTTATTTGCTCTGCTGTGAAGAAGTAGCAAAGAAAGGAGCAGGGACAAGATCCTCCCAAGGACCCACTTGAAGTGACATATTTCTTCCAGTTAAATCGTTCCCACAAAGCTCTTTAAAAGCTCCCCAAATTGTGCCATCAAGTGGGGGCCACGCTTTCAAAACATGAGCCCGTGTGACAAATTTCATATTCAAGCCACAATGATCAACCCAAACCAAGATTTAAAATATAGTACAATCAACAGGAAATGACAAAATCCATGAAGGATCATGCGATAGTTGTATCTTACATCTGAATGTGCGTTAACGCCTCAGTGACAATCGTTGTTGATAGAAAAGGTGTTCCCACAGTGTTTGGATATTATTTCAAGGGGCAGCAGAGTTGCTGATGCTGCCACCACCAACTTCTGCTTCAATTTTCTTTTCTAATTTTCAAGAGGTTTATAATAGATAAAAGTTCTTCACTATGCTCTCTAATCTCTTTCTCCCCTTCCCTCTCTCTCTCCCTCCTCTCTCTCTCTCTCTCTCTCTCTCTCTCTCTCTCTCTCTCTCTCTC